GTTCCTCGGGCCTCGATGGCTGTGCCATGGAAGGCGTGACGTTCCCACACCCAAAAAAATCAAGGGACGCCCTGGGGTTCCAGGGGTGGGTTTCCTGTGGAAGGTTGCTTGTGGACTGGCCCCCCTTGTAACAGGTGCACAATCAGGAGGGGAAACAACACACAGACGAAATTAATCGTCGACCCCCAGGAAAATCTAGGAAAATATGGGAAGTGGGGGGGGGGAAGACAGAAACCCAGAACATATGGGAAAATGTCGGGAATCCTTTTATTTGTGTGACTATATTTGTGTGTCCCAGTTCCCCTTCAGTAACAGGTGCACGAGCCCGGGCCACGCCGCGCTCTCCTGCCCCTCCGGTGGTCGCCTCCGCGGGGCGCCCCGAGCTAAGAGGCCACCCGCGGGGGCGCGAGGAGGGTCTCGTGCCTCGCGCGCCGCGGTCTGGGCCGGGGCGGCCGCTCTCCTCCCAGAGTCAAGCAGTGGCGACGCGTCCCGGCTCGCCTATAGCCCCCTCCTTCCTCCTCCTCCTCCTCCTCCTCCTCCTCCTCCTCCTCCTCCTCCGCCTCCGCCTCCTCCTCCTCCTCCGCCTCCTACTCCTCCTCCGCCTCCTCCTCCGCCTCCTCCTCCTCCTCCGCCTCCTCCTCCTCCTCCTCCTCCGCCTCCTCCTCCTCCTCCTTCTCCTCCTCCTCCTCCTCTCGCGGGCGCCGCTGGCATGTTCGTCGAAGGCTTTTCGCATGGAGTGTAGGCTCGCCTTTTAGCCTATAGCCCCACCAAACAGTGTTCTGAGAGTGGTTCCCACGAAATGTTCTTAGAACATTTCTGGCTGGGACTGTCCTGTTTTGACACATCGGGTCCATGATCTAAAACATTGCTTTTGTTCAGAACATTTTGGGGTTCTAAGAACAGTTCGTGGTATGACTATAGGACTGCCGGGACGGCCGGTCCCTGCTCAGCAGAGGGGGGGCGGCGCGAGGGCGCGGCGACGGTCGTCGGGGCGCGGGGCGCGCAGTGGGGCGCCCCAGAACACACACACGAAGGCCTTGGCATCGCTCGGACGTGTGCATTTTTCCTTCGGCGAGGACCATCGAGGAGCTTCCTTGATCATGTGGCGAAACAACCACGCACGAAACCGAAAAAAGCACAGGGAATGGACGTCCGAGCGATGGCGAGAGGCAGCTTGGGTCGGTCAGAGGGCCGAGGGCACGGCCCTCGGGATTGCTCTCGCGGCACGCCGCGGGCCCGGGAGCAGGCCGCAGGGAGGAGACCGGGTGGGACGGGGGAGAGGCCGCAGGCAGGCGAGGCGAAAAGACGGAGAGAGAGAGAGGGAGAGTGCGGGTGAGAGAGAGAGAGAGAGAGAGAGAGAAAGAGAGAGGGCCGTCACATGTGACGGAGTGCTTGATGGCTTAGGTTTGCTAGCGTAGTCGTCGGGGCGGAGTTGGCTTGGACGGATGACTCTGGCGCGGGGGTCACACCTCTCGTCAGCGCAAGCGGTGCCCAGGGAGATAGCAGAAGAGACACCAGCAAGACAGCAGTCCAGCATGGAACTTCACAGCTGTATGCCCACAAAAGGGGGCCAGTGGATGTCACGGCGTTCGCAGCATCACTGTCACCGAGTACGCGTAGGAGTGACCCTTCGCCTGTGTGACCTTTTGTGCGGGCTCATTGGGGTTCCCCCGATCGTTGAGCCCGATGCAAGGGCGGCTGCTTGCGCGCTTGGATTTGGGCCTGCTGCGCCCTCGTGATCCGCGCACGAGAGATCACTCTTGCCTAGGGTCTCACGTGTAGCCGATATCAGGAGCTCACGGCCGCCCATCGGGCGAAGCGTTGCGCCCGTATATGTCCAGGCTTTCTATTGTAGGGCTGGTGGAGGCCCAGGACGCGAGCTGTCTGGTGATCCGGCCAGGCATTCCGTTGTGCAACAATTCGGTCGTAAGAGTCGGGATGGGTTTTCGCTGTCTGAGCCTCCCTCCTCGCTGGCCCCATCTACCCTCTTTCCCCCCTGCCTCCCTCGGGCGCACATTCCTCCTCCCTCCTACCCTCCCACCTTCCTCCTGGGCGGGCTGAGGAGGCGGCAGACCCGCGGATGGATCCAGCGCGCCGCGAAGCCACATAATGGGGCGTGGTATCTTCGGGTCCGTGGCCATGGTGGTTCCAGCCGCGGGGCCAGAAACCAACCCGTCTCCCATCCCCCCCCCCCTCGATCGCAGCCTGCAACTCGCGGCGCGGCATGGCGGCCGCGTCGTCCTCGACGACCTCCGCTCGCCCAGCCCGGCCCGAGGTCGACGGCGACTCCTGGCAGCCGGACCCCGAAAAGGTGAGCGGCACTCGAGGCCGCGACTTTGCACGCCTGACGGAACTGCAGGCCAGCCTCAAGAGTCTGTGCGCGTCCCTGCTGCACTTCACGCGGCGCGACTTCGCGGCGCTCGCGGAGGCCGCTCCTGAGCATGCCGCCGAGTGCGAGGCCTTGCGAGGGGAGGAGTTGGCGGACAGCATCCGTAGCCTCGAGCCGCGCCTGGTGCGCCTCGCCGAGCGCATCCAGACAAGCGAGCAGTTGCGCATTGTCTTTCTGGGCCCAGTGAAAGCTGGCAAGTCGACGCTCATCAGCATCTTGCTCACTGCTCAACTCGGCGAGGGCCGCTACGAGATGCTCCTGCCCGTGGACTACACGGCCGCCACGAACTGCATATGGAAGGTGGAGTCTTGCGAGGGCCACACCGCGGAGGTCAGACTGGAGGGCGACTTGCTCCAGCAATGGACTTCCGACCCTGCGGACGCCACTGCACTCGAGCGGACCAGACGTGAGATCGCAGATTTCCTCCAGGACAACCTTGACAGGCACGCACGGCCAGAGAACCGGCGGGAGGTTCTCGTGAGATTGCCCCTTTCGATGCTTGATCCTTTTGGTTGCCACTACTGCCTCGTTGACACGCCCGGGTACACGGAGAGCGAAGAGTACGAGGCCCTCGTCAAGAAGTATCCAGAGCGCTGTCCCGCGGATCCCGCCACCCTGCTGGCTCCGATCCACGGGTGGCAGCGTTTGAAGCACCGAAGGACGTTGCACGTGACACCTCATTTGGGCCAGTTTGGAGTTGTATTCGGCTCTTGTGGGGCCATGCTCTGTTGGGCAGCCTTGCTGCCCTCTTCGGCCGTCTTGGGCCTCGCTTGGGCCATCTTGCGGCCATCTTGGCCAACTGAGGGGCCTCTTGGAGCTGCCGTGGGGCCGTCTAGGGCTGACGAGGAGCCCTCTGATGCCGGATTGGTCCCTCCAGAGGCCCTCTTGGGCCAGTTTAGGGCTCTCTTAGGCCAGTCCTGGGCCGTCTAGAGGCCTTGTTGGGCTGTCTTAAAGCCGCACTGGAGGATTATGGGGCCATTGCGGGGCGTTTTGGACCGTCTTGGGGCCATCTTGGATGCCTCCAGGGCCGTCTGGAGCTGCAGGAAGCGCGAGAAAGGGCGACGACGCCCATGTCGTTGAGAAACGAATGGATCATGCATGAAGTTGGCCGCGTGGGGCCCTTCTGGGGGGGGCCTCTCGTGGCCTTCTTGGGCCGTCTCTTGGGGGCCCCCCGCTTGGTTCCCGTGGGGCAGGCTGGTGCCGCCGAGGGCTCCATCGCGGGCAGTCGTGGATCGGCCACGCGCGGAGAGGAGTGGGGTGAGGGGGGAAGGCTTCTTAGAAGCACCCCTGCTTCTTAGAAGGCGCGGGCCCTTTGTGGGCCCAGGAAACGGCAGGGCCGTTTTTTCACCGTTTCCGAAACATGCCCCTTGAAAATGGAAACGGCAAAAATCGGCGACCGGAAACGGCAAAAAAACGGCTCCAGGATTGGAACCGGAGCCAGAACTGGTCAAAAAACGGCGACGGAACCGGTAAAAAAACGGCGCTGGAACCGGCAAAAAAACGGCAGAACGGAACCGGTAACAGAAAAACGGCCCTGTCGCTTCCAGGGCCCACTAAGCGCGGGCCTTCTCTATACATGTGAGGCCAGCGCCTTCTAAGAGGCAGCCCCCTTCTAAGAAGCCTTCCCCCCTCCCCCTACACCTTAGGCGATGCTTAAGAAAACCCAAGTTTTCGGCCAGAGTCTCGATTATTCTTAACGTTTCAATGTAAATCCTAAGATGTTAATAGAAATGTTGGGTTTTTTTTATTCAGATTCTGAGATTATGAATTTCTTAACCCATGATGTCTTAAGCATGTCGCAGGGTGTATCCCCTCTGCGCGCCGCTGAGCGGAGGCATCTCGGCGCCCCTCCCGGCGGCCCGCGGTGGCCTGCCTCGGCGGAACACCCGGAGGCCTTGCGGGCGCGGGGCTTCTCGCTCGTGCTGCGCTTGGCCTCGCCCGGACGTGTGCATGTTTTCCGTCGGCGAGGGCCTCGACAACGGATCCGGGGCGAAGAACCACCCCCAGGGAGGGGGGAGGAGGAGGAGGAGGGGGAGGGGGGAGGAGGAGGAGGAGGAGGAGGAGGAGGAGGAGGAGGAGGAGGAGGAGGAGGAGGAGGAGGAGGCGGAGGAGGAGGCGGAGGAGGAGGAGGAGACGGTGAGCATTTGGCGAAAAAGCCGCGCACGAAACCGAAAAAAACACAGGGAATGGACGTCCGAGCGATGGCGAGTACGAGGGATCGTGGCCTGCTCCTGGTTTCTGGATAAGCGTGGGGGGGGGGTACCCCTCCGACGGGGGTCAACTTCGCCTCGTCGTCGCGCCGCGATGGGGGTCGGAGCGCCTTGGGCGCGCGGTGGCTGCCCGCGACGGGGGTCGACGTGTGGCTGTCGGCGGGGGTGACGCCTCCCTGACGCTGATTAATAAACTCGAAGTAGGAAGCGCAGATCCATCGGTTGTTCTAGAGATCATGGCCTCGCGAGGGAGGACGATGCATGCCACACTCTGCTACTACCAAGGGAGGGGGCCCTTTCGAAGACTACAGAGACCCGATCTGACAGCAATTGGCACTCCACGCCGCAACGTGCCAGGGCGCACCGTGGCGGATTTGCAGGATCACTCGCACATCGCATGCATGGTCTGCCCAATGACTGAGGGCACGGCCATACCCCAGGCGACAAGGAATATGTTGCAGAGGTCTTTCAGCAAGACCTTGTGGGTGCTCACCAGGTACGACGAGCTACTCAGCCGGAGACCTAAGAGGGGCCAGGACCGCCGCGAAGCTGTCGATGACGTGGTGCGGAAGTTCACAGAGGAGATCCAGGAAGTGGACGCACACGCGCGGGTGTTCAAGCAGGCGGCCCAGGTCTTGATGCCAGACGAGGAGTTCACCAACGGGGCGCAGAAGCTCTTGTCGGTGGAGGACGCGGTCTCCTGGCTGGAGGACATCCGAGCGTGTGTCAAGGAGAGCTTCCTGCTGATCCAGCAGGAGCAGCTCATCCTCAGCAGTCAGTCTCGCCAGTGCGTCGACATCGCCTCAGAGCTGCTTCAGGAGTACACAAGGCTCAGGGATGGCACTCAAGGCAAGCTCGCCGCGAGCGACCACTACGTGCACGAGTTGCAGATCGGCGCCGAGGACGCGTCGAAGTGCCTGGGGCGCGAGATTCGCCAGGAGATCGAGAACATGAAGACCTCGGAGCTGGACCGTCTGTGCACCGAGGCCGCCGCCGAGGTCCGGAAGGAGAAGAGCCAGTTCCTGGTGCAGCAGGCCTACTTCGACGCCCTCCTCGCCGCGCTCGTGCCGAAGATGGAGCGGGAGCTGCAGGGCCGCATCGACGCCGCGATGGAGCGCGCGAGGCAACGGCTCCTGGACGTGGTCCTCAAGCTCGTGCGGGACGCGGGCGTGGCGTGCGGCGAGCGCAGCGAGTCTGCGAGCCCCCTGAGCATGGCGGCCCCCGACTCGCAGCACCTCCGCGCCAGGTACCCCGTGGAGTCCCTCGCCACGCTCACCAGTCCGAGGAGGGCCAGGCGAGACAGCGGCGGTTGGCCTTCGGGGGGGGGCCCTCGTCGCCACGGCTGGTGGCAGCTCGGGAAGCCGATGCGTTCGGGCCCCGGGAGGGGTCCGGAGATTGGTTTTGGGCTGCCATCCACGCGCACAATAAGGACGCGCGTTTTTCTAGGGTACCCTTGCGTCCTTGCCACTGCGGCCCGTCCTTTGCTGATTTCATTGGTCGCCCGCCGCCCAAGAATGCCCACTTCGGTCTCCAAGGGCCTTGCGTCCTCACCACCAATCCTTAAGATAAGTTTTCACTGTACCGTTGTCTCTGCTCGCGCTGCTCTGAGCAATCATGTCCGGCGGCGTCGGTGCCGCGGCCCTGTCCGAGAGCGGCGCCGTTCTCCTCAGCCCGAAGAACAAAAAGTCTTACACCCATCGGTCGTTGAAGGTAGGTATTTTTGGACTCCCCGTTTCGAATCTACTTTGAGCGCCTCCCTGCTTCAATGATCGAGTGGCTTCACCTTTTCCGTCCTCCCCAGGGGGCGGGGCGGACACCGAGTCTATTTTGCAACGCCTTCCTACTTCGTGTATCTGCCTACTTCTTCCGACCGATGGGTGAGCATACGCTTGCAGAGGTCCGTGTGGACTTCCTGGGATCGGCGCTGGACCCTCCATCCCTGGCGCGCGGAACGCGGCAGGGGCGGCGCCGGAGGCGCCACCACCCTGACCTTCCAAGAGGGCTGAAAAATAGCACGCGACTATCCCAAAGCTATTCAACGTCTTGGTTTTAGGCTGTTTCGCTCAGTTGTTTTTCGGTTTTTAGGCCTCCAGTGCAAAAAAAAATGCTCTCTGGAAGGTCAGGGCAGGGAGGTCAGCCTCGGTCACCTCCGGAAGTTGTGTGTTTACGCCACTGTTTGTTCTTCCATCAGCACGCTCGGACTACGCGTGGGCGCAGCGGCAGTTTGGGGCTGGGTTGGAGTCGCGGTGGTATCATTTGCCGCCTTGGGCGTCGCCGTCAAGAACCTGACGGAGTGGCACCCCGTCTGGTCGTACCAGGGTGTAGAGAAGAGCGCAGTCGAAATGGTGCGCAGCGCCAACCAGTGGGGCATACTTGCGGAGGCCTCGTGCGGTCGGGCGGACGCTCACCTCCTCTCTTGCGCGGCGCACTTCCGCTGCGCTTTCAGCAAGGCAATCTTGAACAAGGGCACGCCCCGCGACGTGCTCGTGGCCATCTTCCCTGATCTGCCGCTCTTCGAGGTGATCCACGCAGGCCTCGAGAAGACGTGCTCTGACATTCGCCAGTTCGTGGACGCACAGGATTTGGCTGCTCGCGCGCCGGACGATGTGGTCGCCTGCGAGGAGGCTGCCAAGCAGAAGAGCTGGGACCGAGTGATCGACGCCACTTCCGTGTATGTTGGCTCTAACGCCCGCACGGACTCTGTGCCTGGCAAGGACTTGGCCAGGCTGTACCAACTGCGTTGCGAGGCCTTGTCGAAAGCCAACATGCTGGGCGAGGCCCGCCACTCCGCCAGCATCTTCCGCAGGGCATTCCCGCAGCTGTCGCTGCCGCTGGTCTACGGCACCGCTGCCGGGATCGTCTTCGATTTCCGCGCTGGCACTCTCGACGCGGGCGACGCTCTGCAGCAGGTTCACGATCTCGCAACGCGCCTTGGGCGCGAGGTCGGAGGCCGCGAGGTCCCCCGCCTGGTGGAGATCTGGCTGCTGGCCGTCGGAGCTTCGTTCTTGGGCGAGGCAGGGCGCGAGGGGCTCTCGCCGCTGCTGCGGGAAGCCATCGGCGGCTTCCTCGCGGTGCAGATGAAAGGGCGGCCGTCATGGCAGGCGATCTGTGACCAGAAGCTACAAGTCAAAAGGGCGGGAGCCGCAGCTGCGGGGATAGAGCTGGCGGAGGACGTTCTGAGGTTTTTCCGGACCGGGGCCATGTGCGAGGCGGGGCCGCCCCAGGGCCTGCAGGATGACCAGGAGCGCTACCAGGACTACCAGGAGATCCAGAGGTGCTACCAGGAGGAGTGCAACACCTACGCCGACGGCGTGGTCAACAGCATACACCTGATGCTGGCTGCTCTGCCGCCTTCGCAGGTCGACGTCGAGGACGTGGGGAGCCTCGTTGCGGAGAGCGTCCTGGCGCAGGTGTCGCAGCAGCTCACGCGACCCACGCCGATGCCGCGCGAGGTCGAGGTCCGTATCCGTTCGAATCTCTGTCCCGGGGACATCGGTGAAACAAAATTGCATCACCAAAGAAATGCGGGGAGCTCCGCGTGGATATCTTGGATCGGCGTTGGATCCCCCTGGCGGCGCCTCCAGAGCCGCCGCTGGCGCGCTTCGTGCGCCAGTGAGAGGGGTCCAGCGCAGATCCAACTAATCCGCGCGGAACTCCGAACGTGTGTGTTTGGACCGCTTTGGGCTCCTCTAGGACACTGGTTTCGTGGACGACTTGGCCGACGAGTGGGTGCGCGTGCTTGGCACTTCACTGCGAGGATGCCAATTGCATGACCCTGACGCGTACCGGGTTGGCGCTGAGTAGGCCACCCCCATGGTTCTTGCGCGCTAGTGCGTTCTAGCTCGTCCCCAGTCACGCTTGAAGAGCACAGCACACGCGACGAACACAGTGAATCCCGTGTGCGTCTTTCCGCTCTGCATCGCGACTCGGCTCAAAATAGCCAGCCCGTTCACAGTAGGCAGCGTTTCTCGTTGGAGCGTGTAGAAAAGCGGAGTGTGGACGATTGAAACATGAGCTATGCTTTTGTTGTTCGTGTGAGTGCAAGCCGTTTGAAGGCTACCAGTTCGGTGTGAACCAGGGCGTTTCTCTATGGGCGTTTCTCTTTTTTTTTCGGCGACCGTGTGCATGTTGCAGTTGTGAGTAGGGGCCCGCGGCGGTCATTCTTCCTTATAACTGCAGGGGGAAATAATAAGTGTCTATACACATATATGTATGTACATATATATATGTGTAAAAAGCATCGTTTGAAGTTGTCAGCGTGGCCTACCTCCTCGAAGTAGTCTCGGCAGCCTTCAGATTGGTGCACAGAGGCTGCCCCTCAGTATGTAAATATATGCGTTTCGCGGTTGGGCATGTCCTCCAACAGGCGGAGTTGGGAAGAACAATGAAAAAGTAGTCAAACAAATATCCAAACATAATCCGAAATAGTCAAGACATCGTCACCAGACTGATGTTGGACTATGTTTGTATATTCCCCCTGTAGAGCGACATGCCCGACTTAACCCTGCTCGTGGGAGCAGCGGGCTGCAAAAGGGCTCAGCTTTCGACGAGCGCGCGGGCTGAAGGCCCTAAGGCGGGCCGAAGCACTGCCCAAAGACAAGTCTACGGGGCATAAGGAGGCGCTCAGGGCAGCCCCACTCGGGGCTCAAGAGACGGGGGTCAATGCAAACGGCGGGGTCAGTCAGAGCGCCGGATCTTGCAGGATCATGCAAAGCCAGGGGCGCACTGACCCGGGCTTGGGTGCAGGATCCTGCAGGATCTTACAGAATCTTGCACAGCCCGACCGACCCGGGTCTGGATCGACCCGGGTCAGTAGATCCCCGATTCACGCCCCATGTCAGCGACGTTACACGACGGCCAAGGAGTCAGACGAACCCCAGAGGCCCTCACGAGGCTCCCCAGAGGCCTTGCAGAAACTGGAAGACGCTCACGCGAAGCCCCAGGCATGGCCAGAGGAGATGCGATGATGTGCCCAAGCGGCAGCAAGCAGCTGCACGCAGCATCAACGTCTGCAGTTGCGTTTCCCATTGAATCACGGTTTCCCCAAAAACATTGCGTTCAAGTCTAAACGCTTCGCGTAACCCCACCAGCCCATGCAGACACGATGCCGAAGCGAGTTGCCCTTATCAGGGGTGTGGAGGGGCATGCAGTGGAATAAAGGACTGGGGAAGCCGTCATACCCTAAGAGGGGGAGGATTGACGAGGAATCGGAGGAGGAGGAGGAGGAGGAGGAGGAGGAGGAGGAGCATGAGGAGGAGGAGGCGGGGAAGGGGGAGGGTAATGGGGGAGGTGGAGGAGGAGGAATCGGCGGATGAGGAGGAGGAGGAGGAGGAGGAGGAGGAGGAGGAGGAGGGCGACAGAAAGGCCAGTGCCTTTCGGAGTACCTTCGGATGCCTGCTTGAAGTCCTCGTGGGAGCCTCTTGGAGGCCTCTTGCGAGCCTTGGGAGTCATCTTGGAGGAGTTCGATCAAAGAAGAGATACTCTATGAGCCCCACCCCGACCCCCCTGCAGAGCCCCTAAACTCACCTCATCTCACCTCTTGGGGCGCTCTCGGAGCGCCCTTTGGCGCTATTGGGGCCAGGACCCTCTTGGGCTCCTCTTGTGGTTCCCTTGGGCCGTCCCGGAGCCGTCTTGAGGCTACGGAGGGCCGTCGAAAGCGAATAGACGAGGAGGCGCCAAACACTGGTGTGCCTTAGGTGGTCGAAGGATGCTGGCATGTGGGTGGCGTCCTGGGAGGCTTCGTGGCCGCGTGGGCCGTCTTGGGGCTGCCTCGAGGCTGCGTGGAGGAGGAGGAGGAGGAGGAGGAGGAGCATAAGGAGGAGGAGGCGGGGAAGGGGGAGGGTAATGGGGGAGGTGGAGGAGGAGGAATCGGCGGATGAGGAGGAGGAGGAGGAGGAGGAGGAGGAGGAGGGCGACAGAAAGGCCAGTGCCTTTCGGAGTACCTTCGGATGCCTGCTTGAAGTCCTCGTGGGAGCCTCTTGGAGGCCTCTTGCGAGCCTTGGGAGTCATCTTGGAGGAGTTCGATCAAAGAAGAGATACTCTATGAGCCCCACCCCGACCCCCCTGCAGAGCCCCTAAACTCACCTCATCTCACCTCTTGGGGCGCTCTCGGAGCGCCCTTTGGCGCTATTGGGGCCAGGACCCTCTTGGGCTCCTCTTGTGGTTCCCTTGGGCCGTCCCGGAGCCGTCTTGAGGCTACGGAGGGCCGTCGAAAGCGAATAGACGAGGAGGCGCCAAACACTGGTGTGCCTTAGGTGGTGGAAGGATGCTGGCATGTGGGTGGCGTCCTGGGAGGCTTCGTGGCCGCGTGGGCCGTCTTGGGGCTGCCTCGAGGCTGCGTGGAGCACGTCTGAAGCCACGCTGAGCCATCCGGAGCCATGGCGAGCCCTCTTGAAGGCCACCCGGGGCACCCAGAGGCTCTCTCGAAGACATCTTGGTGAAGGGGCCCACAAACACACCAATAACATGCACACAAACAAACAGATCCCCCCTATGTTCCTATATGTTCTGGGTGTCTGTCTTCCCCCCCACGCCCCATGTGTTTCCCATATGTTCTGGGGGTCGACGAATCGTTAAGTGTGTCTGTGTGTGTGTGCTTGTCCCCTCCAGACCTGGGGCCAGCTCGGACGCTCCGGCCGCTCGCGGGGCGCCCCCTTCCAGTCACAGGTCGTAAACCGGAGCATACACGTTACCAGTGGCGGGCTGTTTTGCAATCCCAGGAATTGTTGAGGGTCGAAGGCGACGTCGGGGTGTATACACCCTAGGCGATGCTTAAGAAAACTTGAGTTTTTGTCCAGAGTCTCGAGTATTCTTAACGTTTCAATGTAAATCCTAAGATTTCAATGGGAATTCTGGGTTTTTATTCAAATTCTGAGACTCTGAGTTTCTTAACCCATGATTTCTTAAGCATTTCGCAGAGTGTACTTCTTGTCCCCGCTTTTTCCCGGGGAAACAACGAAACATGGATACACCAGGCTCCCGAATACGCCAGGATCCGCTCTCTTGTGCGAGTTCCGGTGCGGGGCTGGAAAAAGCGTCGGTGTGTAGAGTTCGGCTCCTTCCCAGTGGGAGGGGGTGGGGAGAGGGGTTCTCTTCCAGACGCAAACTGTTTGGTTCACTCCCACCCGTAGTACGCGAGTCTCAGCAGATTCAGCGGTCGAGGTTCGATGGGCAGCATACAGACCCCAGGTGCGCGACGCTGGGGCCAGGTGCGCCACAAGTGCCAGGCGCGCCACGTGGGAGCGGCCTTTGATTTTTGTTCAGCCTCATAGTTTTTATTTTGGCCTCAGAACAATTTTGGCCCCGTTACGTGGGACATCCTCCAAAAATCCTTGGGGAAGGACTCGTCGGTTCTAGGTTGGTTGGCTGGGGTTGGTTGGTTGGTTGGTTGGTTGGTTGGTTGGTTGGTTTGTTGTCCCGGGATGGCTGGTTGGTTGGTTGGTCGGTCGGTTGGGCGGCGGTTGGTTGATGGGTTGATTGGTGGATTGGTTGTTGATTGTTTGGGCGGGTTGGCTGGTTTGTGGGTTGGTTGGCTGGTGGGCAAGCTGGACACCTCACTGGTTTCTAGGTCATTTCTTTCCTGAGGCGACGGGGTTGGTTGGCTGGCTGGCTAGTTGGTTGGTTGGGTGGTTGGTTCGTTGGTTGCCAGTTGGTTGGCTGGTGTTTGGTCGGTAGGTTGATTGATTGGGTGGCTGGGTGGCTGGTTGCCCGCTTGACCGGGTGGTTGGCCTGTTCTCCCCTCCATTCTCCCTCCCCTCCTCCCGCGTCCTCCTTTCTCACTCCTCTTGCTTCTCTCCTCTTCTCTGTACCTTCCTCCCTTCTGCTCCCTCCCTGTCCTCCTCCTTCTCCTTCCCTTCGCAACAGGATCGTTGGTTGACCAGTTCGTTGGTTGGCTGGTGGCTGGTCGGTCGGCAGGCAGGTAGGTCGGTTGGCTGGTTGATTGGGGGGCTGCCACGTGGCAGCGCCACTCGACTCCTTACGCTGCAGCGCCGCGGGGGCTGGAACAAAAACAAATGCGAGTCCACTATCCGCCACTTGGCACTGCCTGGCGGGGACCGACAGAATACGATTCACGAGTCGTCTCGTGGCAGTGCCGCGGGGGCCAACAGCGACTACGTCTGGCCACTCCGCGCGCCACCTGCCAGAGCCTGGGGGGGGCGCGAGGAGGCAAGATTCCGTCCACGCCACGCGTCACGTGGCAGCGCCACGGGGGCCCGACAAAACGTACTGTGCCACTCCACTCGCCGCGTGGCAGCGCCACGGGCGCCCGACAAAACGTACTGTGCCACTCCACTCGCCACGTGGCAACGCCGGCATCGCTCGGACGTGTGCATTGTTCCTTCGGCGAGGGCCATCGAGGAGCATCCTTGATCGTTTGGCGAAACAACCACGCACGAAACCGAAAAAAAAGCACACGGAATGGACGTCCGAGCGATGGCGAGATGCCACTCCACTCGCCACGTGGCAACGCCTGTCGGCGCGAAGAAATCGCATTCCATTCTAGTCGTCACGTGGCAGCGCCGCGGGAGCCGAAACAAACATTATGCCACGAGGACGACGACGAGGACGACGACGGCGATGATGATGACGACGACGATGACGAGGGCCAGGGTGGCGAACAGCAATTCCATCCTATCCTCCTCCTCGTCCTCCTCCTCGTCCTTCTCCCTCCCCCCTTCCTGCAAGTGCAATCCATCCCAGATTCCTCTTACACGGCCCAGACAGCCCCCAAGCCGCCCCGGGAGGCTCCCCAGAGGGGTTCCAAGAGGGCCCC